GTTATATAAATGCGTTAAAAATAAATTTAAACCAAATTTCCCATTAATTTTAATATTTTACTGTTTATTTTGGTTGTATAAATAGGTTTATGCTAGAAAAATATATAATTATAAGTAAAATTAGTACCAGTATCGCTTTATTTCAACCTTAAGCATGACAATTCATAAATATGTGCCTCACTTTATACCGGCATGCCGGTAGGGTATCATAAAGCCATTTTTGTACAAATGATCAGCCTCACTTATAACGGCATGCCGGTGGTTGGCGGGAATACGGTAATAAACTCAAATAATACAATATCTTCGATAAAATATTAGTATTAATAAAAATATATTTATCTATTGAGTTAATGTCTACAGTATGTCATATGATTATAACATGTTTATAACACAATTTTTATGGATACAGATTATCTGTTTGTTTTATTCAATAGTGAATATAAACTTTCCACTCAATGCACTCATGTTATATCATTTATTTGTTAATTTTTTTATTTTTATCTTGAAAATTATTTAGGATTTATTCATTTATCATCAAATGTAAATACATTATAAATAAATTATACAATAACGCATAATTAAGGATCAATCAATTAATATATACAATGTTAGTGGTTTTGATTTATACATAATTAAATAAGCCATTATGAATCATTTAAACGCCAGTAAGTTAAAAAAAAGTGTTAATAAACAGTTAATCATTAATCAATTTTGGTAAATAATTTAATTAGTACACAAAATAACTGTGCAAAAATTGATTAGGGATTGACAGTGTCAATTTGACACATGTTTCATAACTTATATAAACAAGATATTTAATAATTATTTGAAATAAATAATTTGAAATCTCTATTAATACTGTTTAAAGATTTTAATATAAACTTGTGTTGAGTTTATAAGAGAATATGTTTGTGACACAATTGTTATTTGATTATATATTTGCCAATGTAATATACTTTACAATATTTTTAGTATTGATCAGTGTAGTGGTGCATATTGTAAGCAATTTAAGATTAAGACTGCATTTACCCGCTGGTCCAGTAGGCTTACCACTGGTCGGGCATCTGCCATTCCTGGGCAAAGAGCCCCACAAGACAATCGCCAAATTGGGTGACAAATACGGATCTGTTTTCACGTAAATTTTTAATTAATAAATAATTATTTATAAATAATTTCAATAACTATTAATAATAGTCTAACTTATTATAAAACTTACAAAAGTTACAAATTATTGATAATTTGTTTATTTATCAGTAGCAAATATTGATAGTAACCTAGATATGATATTTAATATATTTATACACTGCATTTGTATCAAGGTTACAATTAGGAGTCTATAATGTGGTGATACTTAACGATTGGGAGGCCGTGAAGGAGGCCTTAAATAAGGACTCGTTTTTAGGCAAACCCACGAGTAGTCCGTTTACTGTCGTCAACAGTGATAACGACAACGCAATCAGTATTTTTGATTTAATTTAAATTATAATTACTTTTAATCAAACAAATTATTTTATAAATAGGTTTTGCTGATGATAGCGGCTATACATGGAGTGCCGACAGACGCTTCGCCCTACAGGTGCTCCGGGACTTAGGCTTCGGGAAGGGCTCTATGGAGGACAGGATCACCGATGAGATCAGTTATCTTATCAAACATATTGATGGGTCTAATGGTGAGCCCGTGAATATCCATAAACTCCTGACCCCCAGTATATCCAACATTATTATGCAACTGGTGTTTGGTCACCGATACGACTATGATGAGCCCAAACGACAGGCCTTGGATCAGTTGGTCGACCAATTGTCTCAAGTCTTCTCAATGACCGGATTTTTAGCGACAGCACCGGTATGGCTGAGTAGACTTGTGTTCAAAATGGGATTATTTGG